TGCACACATATACACATATAAACGCGTGTACACAGGCACATGTACACTTATGTCTGTGCTTTGTAATTAATAAATTAGTGCTTAAATTGTAAAGTTATTTTTCTATTTTAGCGTATTAAATATGGTTGGTTGATTGGATAGTTGTTTGATTGACTGAGTTTATAGAATGCTTTTTGGTTGTTATGTACATATATAATATATACTACTCCTGCACACTTACGTCGCACGCTGCGCATATATATATATATATATATATATATATATATATATATATATATATATATATATATATAATATAATTAAACAATGTATATGTATTAAATTAAATATTTGCTTATATCATATATATATATATATATATATATATATATATATATATATATATATATATATATATTTTATTTGGTGTATTACTTAAAAAAAGAAATGACACTTTGATTCCCGTGCTGCTGGCGAGTAATGATCCAGGCAAGCGTTTGTACCCGGGTAATTTGGGACATAAACCCGTTATTTATCTTTTATTTTCCAATGCGTCCTTCAGCTGTGCCAGTTGCTCACTGGTGTATCGCACAATATAAGTAAAATTTTAAAACGCATCTGTATTACTGAAAGTCATTCCGGTAAATTGCTTCGAAGAAAATTTTCAGCAATGTACCATCGTCTCACAAGCGGAGAACTTTGAAGGAGACAGCAGCAAATATTTACCAAATCAGCCAACTTTAATTTCGAAAAGACATTCCAAGAATTTAATTTTCGCAACTTGTATTGTAAGTAAATAACACATCGTATGTAAATGCTAAAAACCTCGGTTCAAAAATGTTGTAGTGCGTAAAAAAACGCAACCTTTTCGTTCATTACAAACAACGTTTATTAAAAATAACACACAAAGTTATGATGAAATGAAAAGTAAAAAAATATTTCTTCGTCTTATGGAATACAGTGCTTTATTGTATTTCCAATAACATTGCATTAATTCCTGGAAGATATTGTGTATGGCCGTAACTAAATCCGGTCTTTGTGAAAAGCCAATCCTCGTTCGTTCAACTCTTTTTCGTATTGAGCATAGTCGCATTCAGTTTGGTACTTGAGGAGGGAACGTCTGATCTATGGAAGAAAAAATAAATTAATGTGAAAATAAATTAATGTAAAATAAATTAAATAAAAAATATTAAAAATAAATTAATGTAAAAATAAATTAATGTAAAAATAAATTAATGAAAAATAAATTAAATTAAAAATATTAAAACTTAATTAATGTAAAAATAAATTAATGTATAATAAATTAGAAATATTAAAAATAAATTAATGTAAAAATAAATTAATTTAAAAATAAATTAATGTAAAATAAATTAAATTAAAATATTAAAAATAAATTAATGTTAAAATAAATTAATGTAAAAATAAATTAATGTAAAAATAAACTAATGTAATTATTCTAGCAATGAGAGAACAAAAAATAGTCAGTAAATCGTACATCTTTCATAAACGACGAGACGAGAAAAGTCACCATCGACACGAAAAAAAAAATTACTCAGGTAAGCACATCAATAAGGTAATTTATGTTATTGCAAAAAAACAAAAAACAAAAACTAATAAAACGCTACCTTTACAAGACCCTGATAAGGCCAAAAATGGAGCACTGTTTTCATATTTGGGCGGGAGCTGCCCAGTATTCACTCTCCAGTCTCGATAGAGTTCAAAAGCATCTCCAAGTTCTTGTGGGCGACGAATTATTTTCCAATTATCAACCTCTCTCACACAGGCGGGATGTGGCAAGACTTTCGCTGCTCTAAAGTGCTTGGAAGAATTACATTCCTTGGTTCCGCCTTCATGGCAACAACACGCTATGCCACTTACATTGTAGCAAACCACCCATATTCTCTATTTATTCCATCGGTGAGAAGTTCCACTCGAACAGCTTCTTCCCACGAACCACTGCCCTGTGGAACTGACCCCAAGAGGATCTACCCGATCACTACAATCTTAACCTGTTGAAGTCTAGGGTTAACAATTATCTTCCCATCCTATCGAAATACAAATTGCCTCCTAACCTAAACCTCTACCTCGAGTGGATACCGGGCCTTGTACAGAGGGAACCTTACCGTAAAAAAAAAAAATTGCAACTGATAATTAACCCTGTTTTTTCGGAAAACACGCACACACACATCTGTTCACTTTGGCTGGTATAAAAATTATACTTGCTGTTTTGGATCAAAGTCAATAATTGTTAGGATATCTTTCTTTCTCCTTCCCAAATATTCCCCGCACTTAGCCTGTCATGTGACACTTTATTGCCCTATCAGCAGAGCTCTGTTTTTGCACAGAGAGAGAGAGAGAGAGAGAGAGAGATATTTCGTAGACCCCGGAGGGAGAATATGCGTCCTGATTCCTGAGTAAACAAACTCTTTTACAGCATAATGTACCTTACATGTCAGTAACGACAGCCTTTTGTAATATCCGCTCATTTTCCTTTTCAGGGTTGGAGAGAAAGCATCTAACACATTGTTAGCATGTTCTATAGAAACTTAATTTACGTTCTATTTTTATCTAAACTGTCGTTACTTTTCGATTATAAGTGTTTGGGTAAAAATACAATTTTAAAAAGCATTCTGATAGTGAAGAATTAATTTGAATAATTAATGTTGTTGCTGAAAAAATGCGATAAGGGTTTGCCAATTTTCACTAATAAGTAAAAAAAAAATTCAAACAATTTAACATTGCTACAACTTCGTCATTGTAAATAAAAAAATTCTTGAGCTATGTCGTATTCGACAAGATAATTTCGTTATCGGCCAGTTATGAAGTGGTAATTTGAAACAATTTGTTAATTACAATACCATTGGAAATTATATCAATTAAAATTAAGAAGGATGCTGAGGATACCATGGACCGAACATGTGAGCAACGACGAAGTTTTAGTGAAAATGGAGACAAAAAGAAAACTTATAGTTAACACCAGGCAGAGGCAGTTGAAATTTTTAGGGCACATAATAAGGAAAGAGCGCTTGGAAAATCTGATACTCACAGGACAGATTGAAGGCAAGTGGGACAGAGGAAAACAATGCGTAACTTACTTGACGAGCTTGGGTAAATGGATGGCAGAACAGGGTTTATGAGAAATAACAGAAAATCAAAATTTATTAAGGGCTAAAAAGAACAGGAAGTAGTGGCGAGACATGATCACCTACGCCCTGAATGGACACGTGAATGGACATGGGACATAAAGAAGAAGATGCCGATGAGAGTAGAATGGCATGTCCGTCGTCCTACACACAAACACGCACACACACACACTTTTGGATTATAAATGTTTGCGTAGTTATCTATTTCGGTGGTTAGATACCACCAGAACCACCCAGAATATATTTAGTAACCAACAAAAGAAATAATAATATTAAAGTAGTTGTATTTGTAATAAAAAGAAAAATGTTCTTTTATTTCGTGTGATAAGAATTAATTATTATAAAGTTATATAAAATGTTTGCTAATAAGCGACCATTAAGAATACAATTTTAAAAAACTATTTTGATAGTGAAGAATTAATTTAAAGAATTAATGTTGTTGCTGAAAAAAACGCGATAACGGTTTGCCAATTTTCACTAATAAGTAAACAAAATTCAAACAATTCAACATTGCAACAACTTCGTCATTGTAAATAAAGTAATTCTTGAGCTATGTCGAATTCGACAAGATAATTTCATTATCGGCCAGTTATGAAGTGGTAATTCGAAACAAGTATTTATAATGTTAATTACAATTCCCATTGAAAAATTTATCAATTAAAATTTAGAATTATAAAACTAATCGAAGTGCATTTAATTTCAGCTGCCAATAAAATTTTCATTATTTCTGGTCTAATATCTCCATCACGTTCAGAAAATGAAAGATGACGCATCCAGAGTAATCAACCGTACTAGTTCTATAAAACAGTAGCTATTATCAGCAATGTGTATATTATACTTCACTCCAGCCGCCCAAGTCATCGAAGAATCATCATACGATCAGGACTTTTTCTAAATGTTGTTGTCTATAAAGTTTAAATATCTGGGAAGTGTTTTGATAGAGGACGACAAGTGCGACACTGAGATCTGTAGACGTACAGGGATGGCTAAGGACGCATTTCAAAAGCTGTGCAAAATATTGCGAAACAGGAGGATCCCTTTGGCAGCAAAGAAAAGAATATTAAACTGTTACGTGACACCTGTCCGCTTTTTTTGGCAGCGAATGCTGGACGAGTTCCTCAAAGATGAAGAAGAGACTCGAGGTGACGGAGATGTCGTTCTACAGAAGGATGCTAAGGATATCATGGACCGAGTGTGTGAGCAACGATGAGGTCTTAGAGAGGACGCAAAGAAGGAGGAGGCTTATACTTGACATCTGGAAGAGGCAGGGGAAATATCTAGGACACATAATGAGGAAGGAGAGCCTAGAGAATCTGATACTCACGGGTCGAATAGAGGGAGAGAGAGAGACAAGGAAAAAGAAGCATATTATGCTTCACTTTAGCCGCCCAAGTGATCGAAATATCATCATACGATCAGGACTTTTCCGAAATGTCGTTATCTATAAATTTTAGACGAACCTTTTCCTTCATTCCATGAAACGAGAAACTGGAAAATTATATTAGAAACAAAGAAAAAGAGTACTGCATTGTTATGTAGCAGTGCAGGTCCTTCGATATGGCAATGAATGATAATCAATCTCTTCACAAATGGAGAAGTTTCTTTTATTGATTCGTTTTCTATGGCTTATCCCTTTGTAGGTTATTTAAAGCCAGGAAATATTTTTTAGATTGTAAAACTTTGTTTTAAAAATATTAATACTTTAGTAATACAGTTCTTACTAATTAACCCATAGCTGGGGAGAAAAGAGATGAATTCATATCTTTCCTCAGGGTACCTCCGCGTAAGTGAATATAACGAACCAATCGGGGATTGAAACTCAGCACTCCGATTAACAATTACGAGCCATTATCCATTATACCACCTGCACACCCAAGCTTACAGGACTTGGCGTTCCCAAGCGGTCACCCATCTAGGTACTTACCAGTCTCAACGTTGCTTAACATCGGTGATCGTACAGAAACTGGTGTTTCAACCTGATATGACCGTAAGCTGAGAAAGGATTTGGGGGCAACAAAAATGTGGTCCTCGACAATTATACTGAGAATACCATGGATTGAACAAGTGAGCAACAGCAAAGTTTTTGAGAAAATGGAAACAAAAAGAAAAGAGGGCTTGGAAAATTGGACGCTAACAGGAAATATTGAAGATAAGAGGGATGGAGGAATGCATCAGCGCATAGCCTACCTAACGATCTTGTGTAAATGGTTGGCAGAACAGGAGTTAAGGGTTATAGCGAAAAGATAAAACTTAACAAAAGGCTTCAACGGGCAAGAAATTGTGGAGAGCCATGGTCGTTCACGCCCGGAAGCACATAGAAGAAGATCGTTTTATGTTATTATCGCAACGTTTCAGGCAATATATTATTGGACGCACCTTCGTATATAATGCTTTTAATTGGTACCCTGTGTATATTCTGTACCTCTTTATTTACGAACACACATCTGCTTGCACATGTACACGCACACACGTATTTATTATATAATTTATATATAATATAAGTTTTCAAATGGAAATAAATAAATAAATTTCTTATTTTCTATACTGTAAATTTTTCTAGTTTTTTTTTTTAATATGCCTTATTTAATGTTATTATCCAGTTATTGTTTTTGTTTGTTAAACTCTCCTAATTTGATTACACTAAGCGATTTCTTATGTAAGTCGGAATAGCAGGGTAGCATCGAATAAAAGTCCAAGTTAGAAAATCCATTCAAAATGAATTTGTTTTTAGAACAAAAAAATATGGTGGGAGAGGAAGTGAATAAACAGACAGGTTGGGAAAAATTGGAAAATCAAATAAACAGGAGTGGGCATGAAGTCTGGAATAACAGTGGGTAGGTTGGAAAAAATAATCGAAATCTATTCCGGACGCGAGAGTACAAGGCGAAATGGTCGTCCTCTCCAATGGGTTTATAATGTATTTGAGAGTTCATTAGTGAGAATAATTATATTTGCTGAATTCTAATACTGAATGCATCATCATCATCATCATCATCATCATCATCATCATCATCATCTATGTGCCATATCCCTTCAGGATATGGGCCATCAAGGCTCTCTACAAGTTCTTATCCTTTGTAGATCTTCACAATATTTATCTTTTCACTATCCCTTCCACTTGGTGTTTGGTTTGGTTTATTTTGTTTTACGGTATATCAACCTCAATGGGTTATTTAATGCCAACAACATTTTTAGGATAGATTCGTATGAATAGAATATGTATTTTTCGGTTTAGATTGGTTTGGTTTATTTTGTTTAACGGCATATCAACCTCAATGGGTTATTTAATGCCGACAACATTTTTAGGATAGATTCGTATGAATAGAATATGTATTCTTTGGTTTAGATTGGTTTGGTTTATTTTGTTTAACGGCATATCAACCTCAATGGGTTATTTAATGCCGACAAAATTTTTTATTGCTGGTAATATTTTGTTTTGTCAAAAATTTCTTTCAAAATTGTATTGCTGGCAATAATTTTTTCAAAAAAGTATTGCTGGTAATAGTTAATTATTTTCCCATATCTGAGACCCTAACAGGTGTTACCACCCCGGGTCAGGGTGAACCTGGGAACACCAGCAATTAAGAGGTGGATCTACGCTCCCCAAAACCTCCTGATCAGAGGCCTTGCTGCTGGACGTAGTTTAACGTCTTACCTAGGACGCCGATGTAGTTTAACGTCTTACCCAGGACGACGCTTAGTGTTCGGATATCAATTTACTCCTCAGATAGTTTACTCGCTGTCTCTGTCTCTCTTGCTTTCAGTATAATACATGAATGTTAAATTCACTAAGCCCAATTTCATCATTATGCGTCGCGTAAATTCTAGTTCCCGCTTTAAGATTCTATGTATAAGTGGCCCTTTTTGTTTTATTTTTTTCTGAAGTTTTCTGAAGTTGCTCACGTTGCTTACATAGTTCCATCCATATTAATCTCAGCATCCTTCTGTAAAACGACATTTCTATTGTCCCCAATATTCTCTTTCTCTGAGAGGAAATCGTTCAGCATTCAATGTCATTATCTGTCTATATTTCTGAGATGAGGTATTATGTACATTATTTACATTATTCAGACTATTGTCCTCATCTTTGTCGCTATATTTATGTCGTCAAGGACACATGGCACAGTGGATAAAGGCCTTGGTTAGATCCAGTGACCCAAAGAGTGTGAGTTCAATACCCGGTTTAGGCAGTGGAGAACTTTCAGAGGGAAAATTAACAGGAGATAACAGATAATTGGTTAATAAATGCAAATGTGGAAAACTCGAAGTTGGAGCCGACTTTGTGAAACAAAAATGACCAATCAGCAACGTTATATCAGACGTGATTAAGGCTTTGAAATTTCAGACGACCACGTTTGTTGTCTGCTACGAAATTTGAAATCTCACCCTAGAAAACGATAATATTTTACCACATAAAATAGATATTTAAAAATTGGGAAAAATATTTATTAACGGATAAACTTTGAGCTTCCTAGAGGCTATAAATAAGATTGCGTAAATTCAGAATGTCGAAGAGTTTGGTAGGTGGTGAAATGTCTGGCGGAACGGATGGTGTTGATCTTTTTGGGTGTTTCCTTGAAATATTCCGCCTGTCTTGCTTTTTGTTCCTCTTCCCCTGAAATAGTATTGCCATTCTGGTCTTTGTCGGGGCAACTGAGTTTACTGTTTTTCCCAAAGAGAGTCCTTGTGATTTCATACAGCCTTTTCATCTTTCCTTGGCCCGCAGCAGTCTCTGCTTCCTATGCCAGTTCCTCAATGAAATTTCTCTTGTCTTTTCCCGCATTTCTCATCACTTCCCGGTTCTTCTTTCAGTATTGTGTTTGCAATTCCTACTTCTCTTCTAGGTCTTGTGTCTGGCTGATCTGGTCTTTCGCCCACAAACTTCAGACATTTACCAACAGATGTCTCAGGAACATCCTCAATATCAGGCGGCCAGTTGTTGTCTCCAATGACTAACTGTGGAACAGGGCCAGACAAGCCGCAATCGAGATTAACATCAAGAAATGGAAATGGGGGTGGATCGTCCACACACTCTGCAAGCGTGCTTCTAGTGTCACCAGTCATGCCCTTGAATGGAATCCACAAAAGAAGCGAAAAGTAGGTCGACCAAAACAAACTTGGCGCAGAAGTGTTGACACAAAGGTGAAGGCAGCCGGCACTTGGAGAGGTGTTGCTGCGGCCCTATGTTCCCCAAGGAATCAAGAGTCATTATATATATATATATATATATATATATATATATATATATATATATATATATATATAAACCTAGTGAGCCAGACAAACCTACCCAGGTTTCACCTAAGCGGATCGTCATGGAAAGCGAGCTTTCCCCTGACGATCCGCTTAGGTGAAACCTGGGTAGGTTTGTCTGGCTCACTAGGTTTATTTAGGTCTGCTCTACGGTTGTATCGAGCTCTTTTGTTAGTTTACTCGTGTCGGGGTTTTTTCTTTGGGCTTCAAACCTGTATCTGTGCGATTTTTTTCGACAGACTTTAATGTTTCTAGCTCTTTCTTTTTTTTAGACCTTTTTTTCCCTCGAGATTGATTTGATTATTGGCAAATCAAAAATTCGAAGGTTTTTCGAAACGATTATAGTTACATATAATTCAGAATGTTAGTTTGGAATTTTTTGGTAACTCTTTGACCCGTGGTGGTTGTTGACAGACAGCTTTCGTACAATTAATTACTCAACATTTGACATATTTATCGAGTAACTTCTTCCAATAGTCCCGCAATTTTTAAAGTAATTTAAGCAGCACGAAAAAAAAAAAAAAAAAAAGCGAACGGAGTTATGTCAACAAAAATATTAGCAAGAACAATATCACAGCCGCTATTAGCTATCTGTCATACTGCCGGAAAATTACACTCATTCATAAAGCAATGTAAATACGTGACTCTCTCGTTAAATAGATACAATCTGTTTCTCTTATCATAATAACGGAAATAATTATATTGTGTTGTACTGCAAAAGCAAAGTATTTTGTGAGAATTTGTTTCGCAAGGATTTGTAGTTCGTTTCTTTCAATTTGAAAGACAACAATACTCAGTAATAAAATTTATTGGAATTTGTAGAGCTGTGTTTGAAGATTATTTCTTTCTTTGTTTTCTGCACGCTTTTTCCTCTACATATATTACGAAGGTCGACTGAAAAGTTCACAGACTGACTAAAAGACATGCAAGTATACCAAAATGCAACAGCTGGTCGATCAGCTTCCATTTCGATGTGCCATGTCCCTTGAGGACGTTAGATATCATGGCTCTCTACAATTTTCTGCTGTTTGTAGTTCTTAATAACTCATCTTTTTGCTATTTCTCCCAAACCCTGCTCGACTATCCATCTGCTCAAGCTCGCCGGGTAGATTTTACGTTGCTTTTCCCTGTACCTCTTGCCTTCAATCTGTCCTATTAGTATTCCACGTTCTTTTCTTTATTATGTGTCCGAGAAATTTAAATCGTTTCTTCCTGATGTTATGTATAAGTATGCTTTTTATTGACATTATCTCTAGAATTTTGTCGTTGCTCACATGTTTGGTTCATGATATTCTCAGTATCCTTCGGTGGAACCAAATTTCTGAAGCTTCAAGTAGATGATTGTTCAGCATTCGCTACCATAACGGATGACCGATACTACAGTTCTCTTCGTTTATGAAACTATTTTTCTGTTTCTTAATACTTTGCTCAGCTTTTGGAAGCCATCTTCCACTATCCCAATGCGCCTTCGGATTTCAGTATCACACATTCCGTCCTCTGTTAATACGCTTCTCAGATATCTAAACTGTTGTACCTGTTTGATCTCAGTATCTACTTACATTTATATCTTGGTCAGCCTATGAACTTTTCAGCGGGCACTTGTAATTCATATAGTTGTATTCAACAGGTACAGACCTGTCGGATATTAACGAGAGGAAAGAAATTGAGTAGACAGAGAAATTTACAATAACAAATGAATTTCTTTTTATTCACAGGCGTTCTTAAATAGTTATGTTCG